CCTCCCCCCCGGCGGCGGGGCCGCCCCGCCTGCCCGCGGTAAGCGGGGACACCGAGGGAGACCGGCTGCAGCCTGAACACTTTCTAAAGCTACTGTAACACGGAGGACGCTGCAAGTGAATCGGAAGGAGACTCAGCTGAAAGCCCCCCGGGTGCTCTCTGGCAGATGGATTTACTGTAAAGCAATGCCGGCTGCGCACCCGCCGTTACCTCCCACCGGAGGAAAAGCTCCCCAGTGTAGCCGGGGAAGCAGCTTCTGAGCTGCTTCTTACTAAGAAAGCTGCTGTCAGCAGGGACTTTGGTTGCTGAAAACACACGCAGGACACCGAGCTTATCTTCAAGGCTCCATACGTGTACCAGCACAGTCCCTAACTGCACCACGTCACTGGGAGTTAGCCGTCGGACAAACGGACTGCCTTCGACCCAAGCCAAGGGCTTGCTCCAACTCTTGTTTGTCCCTGACAGAGCACGGTCCTGCCTAACCGCAGGGCTCCTCTGTGCAGCTTTGGGTTACTGACCGACTTGTGCGTTTAGCTCAGCATTCAGATATTCTGGATTTGAGGAGAGATTTCTTTCAAAGGTGGTTGTTCACAGGGAAATGAGGAGGAGCACAGGCAATCTTAGGGAAAAGAAAAAAAACCAGCCATAAAACTTAAAGATGGAACACGCATAACATTTTTATTAGCAAAGAAGACAACTTTGGAAAGAAAATAAATACAAGGCTTTTTTTTTTTTTCCCCTCTAAGCACAACAAAACCACCAACCACACCAGAAAAATCCCTGACGTTACCCCTGAAGACCAAGATCTGCTTCCTCGGGAAGGCTGAAGGCACTAAGGTGCGGCCATTATTGTGCAGTCCTGTAAGCACAAGCAACTGAACAAGGATCCACAGCTCTAACCAGCTTTAAACAGAAGAATATTTACTCCACACATGAGGAAGAAGATGAAGTGCTTGGTCTCATGAGACACACAGCTGCCAAATTTCCTTCCTGCAATGCACTCCCAAGTGGGACTGTATTTCTTCTCAAACTCCTGCAGCAGAGATTGCTACGAACTTAGTATTAGCACAGTTCTCACCCAAAAGTTGACTACAGATTTTCTGTCATTAATGTGTCTCTTCTTAAAAAGTACAACTTTTTGAAAAGGCAATTAAGCAGCAGCGTATGCTTTTAAGTATAAGGATTGTGCTACTTACCTTTTATACCTCACCTGCTGCTTAGACACACACAAAAAAAAAAAATCCCACAGCACTTCCTAGCTAAGCAGGAATAAGCCCAGGGACTGCAATTCTCCCCAAAAGTCATACCATGTTCTCAAACTATACCATTGAAGTATCAGGTCATGCAATCATGTTCTCCCATTGTACTCAGAAGCCTACCACACGTTTCAAAAAGCAAGACGTACAACCCTACTAAAAGCGGAACATTCTAGTCAGTCATTATACACTGTCACATCCAATAGCTCTCAAATGAGGAAACTTTCTGTGAGAGCATGCAAGCATTTCTGATCAGTTATTATGACCCTGGATAAATTACCTCCTCACCACAATTCCTCAGGTTCCAACTAGGAGCCTTCAGGAAAATCTGACGAGCTTGATTAGCTCTCCGCTAACATAGAATGTTGTTCTCACAAGTGGAAAAAATAAACCTGCTTACACCTCTCTTTGGATGACAGGAAAGGAAGACCTCCCCAACAGAAGCAATTGTACCATTTAGTTGAATGACTTTTCAAACAGGTCTTCCACTCAGATTCATGCAGTATTTAACCTCCACTGGCACCCTTAGATTTCTTTATTCTCCTGAGATAGCAAAGCAGAAAGCGTATCAGAACTAGATCTTTTGTGCATCCGTTATTATTCTTCATGCATATATAAAACCAGGTATTCTGCGGACACCAGATAGACAGTGCTCCAAGACATGGGATTTTAGCATGGTTCAGCACATAAGAGGATGCAAATACAGAAGATGTGCAGAAAATTACTTTTCCCTGCAAATTTTTGAACCAGCTAGCCAATCTTGCACAACTATTACAGAGCTACGCACAGAACCTTAAACTGAACACAATTTAAGTCAAGGACTAGGTAAAAAAAGGCATTCCCTCAGAGGAAAGTTACAGCAGATTTCAAAGGGCTGTATTTTCTACCAGCTAATCAGTCACACAGAGAGGCCAGCTGACACTCTCCTATTCTGCTAGACAATGAGATAATGAAAAAACAATTAAAAACAGAAGGTACTGCAAAACAAAAACCAGGAAAGGTACATGTAAGTAGTGGGAAAAGGAACACAGGGATACCAGCCCACAGGAAAAGTCCAATGTACCTTGTGTCCACAGAACTTGCTTTTCCAAAAAGTGTAGCAACACCCACCCTGCTTGACTTCTGGTGTGGATAGTGTTCAACAAAAGGATATTACAAACATTTACCCTCTTTATAAGGGCTGCAATTTCTCTTTCGACATTGTATTTCCCTATGGCCAAAATGGCACAGCATGTTGCTGCATCTCTTCGGACATGTCCGGATCCTTTATCACAGCTGTCTGATCACCCATGGATGTCTGCATCGAACATGCCTTTCCAGCCCAGCATAGCCGGGAGCCCCGGGAGAGAGCCCAGCCGCTCCAGCACCCGGCCCCGACGGCCTTTCCCCACCGAGAGGAGGCGCCTGTTGCCCGGCCTCAGCCTTCCTGCTTCCCCAGGCCGGCCCCGGCCCCGCTCGGAAGCCGCGCCATACACCCACCCCGAGGCCGCCTGACGC